GAAAAACAGGAGTATGCTGAAGTAGGAGTAAACATCTCCTGCATTAAAATTGGTTTATGGTTGTCGTCAACTTTAGTTTGCTGAGAATCTGCAAAGATTTCACAGAAGCTAACAGATGGCAATACTCTGGCTGCAAACAAGATTATTTGTCAAACTTACACCAGTACAGCAGCATTTCATCCTAGACCTAGGACACACCCCATGCTTTCCACGCACGGGTTGGACACTACTAGAAGTGCAGGTTTTAGCAAACCACCATTACCTCCTGCTCTAGGTGTTTGGGAAATCTCAGGTGTGTCTCATGATACCGTGTGGTGTTGATTACCTGAAACAACGTGGGTGAAAAGGCAATGGGACAAGTGAAATGTGCAGATTCACGCGTACAGAGCAGTGCTGGTTGGACAGCTGGGGGGTATTGGTGTTACCTGTGTCTGCTCAAGAATGGGGCTCGTGTCGCCTCCTGGATTGGGTTCTGTGATCTTGCTCCGCGTGCATGTAAAATTCAAACATAGAGAACATAGCATTAAGGGCAGAGGAGGAGCTGGACTGAGAATTCCATGAGGCCACTGTTCAGCCCGATGGTGCAGCTGTTGGGGTATTTGTACAGTATTTTGAAGACGGGGTATTTGTACAGTATTTGCTATTCCTCCCTGACAAGGATGCTGCTGACCTAAAGGAGGTTAAGCGAAGGAGAATGAAAACAGCCACAGCCAAGGGAAATCTGTTATATACAGAAAATCTTGGCGGTCGTTTACTTCAGGAAAAAGGTAAGATGGTCACAATAAAATGCTAAAAATATTCTTTTGTTGTAGCATAAATTTCCTCTGAAATTGGAAGGCAGCAAGTAAAAAGCTAGCAAATATTTTATTTGTCAAGGAGGTTAAGCGAAGGAGAATGAAAACAGCCACAGCCAAGGGAAATCTGTTATATACAGAAAATCTTGGCGGTCGTTTACTTCAGGAAAAAGGTAAGATGGTCACAATAAAATGCTAAAAATATTCTTTTGTTGTAGCATAAATTTCCTCTGAAATTGGAAGGCAGCAAGTAAAAAGCTAGCAAATATTTTATTTGTCCATCTTACGGAATTGGCAGTTAAACTGCAGAACTCTCCCCCAGGCTAACCCGAACCAGCCCG